CATCTCAAAAGTTAAGTTGTTTAGGACATATGTTCGTATGAAGGTTTAGGGCATTTGTTTCAATTAGAAAACGGCATAATGAGATAAATTCTAGTTTATTCTATTCTAAAATTCAAGTCACTCCATATTTTTTCATCCAAAACACTACTAGTGTGCGCCATATTGATGGTGTGGAAGAAATTACTTATATACATTATTTTGCGTATATTGTCATTTATTTATGGTTATATATATTTTATTTATTTATTGCTTAAATATTATTTATTTATTTATTATTTGTAAGTTTCACTTTCAAATTTGGCTCAAGAATCGCCCAATTACTCATTGACATCCATTTAGAAAACTCACCCGTATACAAGGGTACAAACAGTAAATGATTTACGGGTGCACCATCAAAAAAAAATTCATCGAGAACCAAACCGGAAGGCGTTCGTATGGCGGTGACGAAACTAGGTAGGTATTTATCGTAAATATCGGTTATCAGGCGTCGGTTATCAAATATTTACCGAGCCAGTTGACAAAAAAAATGGCGCCCAACGTGCGCCGTCGATATTGGCGATAGGCACGGAAACACCTCGCGTTCTGTTAAGCCATGCCGTTAAAAATCAAACTACCATGAAATGGTTCCTGGTGTTCTTCGTCGGACATTGTCTCGCGTACGTAGTGACAGGTGCCTGGATGCCGTACGAACAGTTTTTGAACCGGAATCACCCGGAGGATTTGAGAAAGGCCAACATCTTCAAGGCCAAACAGAACTGCCCCAAAAACCAAGTGCGAGTCTTTCCCGGAGAGTGTAGGGACGCTTTCGGATGATTTCAAAGGTAGTTTGCCCTAAAAGGTAGAATAGGTACATTTTTTCATCGTTTTTACATAGTTTTTAGTATTATTTAAGTTTATCAACTCGCCAAAGTCATTAATTATGCCATTCATAAATTGAATTCTAGTTTATTGATCGAATTCGGGTTTAGGGTACGTGACAAGCTATCCATTTAAAATAAGAATGTATGGTAGCTTAGGGAAAAAACCAAAAATATGGCAACGTTGCCGTTGATACAGAACGACTCTGCGTCTGTTCTCTGTTCTTGGATTTTTGAATCGGGAATTACTTTGAAAAAAATACGCTTCAGATTCGGTGCCATATTAGAAATTGTAATAGGTGTCTCAAGTTTGCAGATATTGACTTCAAATTTGGCAGAGAGCTGAAAGTCCGTGCCCACATCCAGAATGTAGAAACTGGATTTTTTTAAAAAAAATTTTTGGGTTATTTTTGCTGCCATAAAAATAGTTTGCTCGCAAACTAATTAGCCCATCGGTATAAATTTTATTTCGACAATTTTTTCGATTATATACAGGGATTTTCACTTAGGGACGCAAATCTAATAGACTAAAAATCTGCAGGCGGTTTTCGACGAACGCGACGACGTCATTGACTGTCACGGCGCACTGCATAGTTTTATATTTTCTCGTAAACTGTTTGCTCTATCGGGAACATTCATGGACTGGGAAACGTGGGAAATAATTCCGTGAACTGCGTCGAGAGCTACAATTTTTGTATTTTGAGTTTTCGTCCATTATACAGGGGGCGCGAGATATTTGAAAAAATATCATTGTTTCTTCTAATATTGTCACCTATAAATTTCATATACAGGGTGTCAGTAGGCTTGGATAGTGAATTGGCTATTCTTGCAAATGAAACCAACCAAAACTTGATTCGAAGTAACAGTAACGTTTTTTGTTCTGTTTTTTTTTTTAATAACGGCTCCATTGATTTTCGAGTATGTTAGGCAAAAGTTGGTTACATAATTCAAAAAATTTATAATATACGAGGCTGAAATAACAAAATTGAGGTTATTTGATTTGATTTGATTGAGATGTTTTTGGGCCGCCCCGTACGCTTAGTTATTCGGCTAACAGGTTTATCTAAACGTTTCGACGCGACACCGTCTAATCTCGTTCCCCTCAATTCAAAATTTACCTGAAATGAACTCGGTCGCCATCTTTCTAGTCGCGATGCTGTGCCTGCGTCCTTGGCTCGAGGTGGGTGCCGATTTTATCACTTACGGGCAATTTCTGTCGCCGGATGCGACCACCAAAAAGGCGCACCTTCTCTACGTGCCGAAATGTAAACGCGGATTCCTGTACATCCGGAAAGTCGGGTGCAAAAAGATATTCGGCGCGGATTTTTAGCGTCTCGTTCGTGTGAGACACGTACGGCCGATGACAATTTCCCGGCGTCTTAACTGTTGTTTTTGTTTCAGGCGATACCTCGCTGACCCCCGATCCCGACTACGAGAAGCCGCGTTTCGAATATTTTTATTGTATTGTATGTATTTCGTGTATTTTTTATGTATTGTTAAAAAAAAAAACAAGCCCTTGATCTGCGAGCAAAGTTTTACTTCCGTCCGTGCGGTTGCTTGAGGTTTTGGCGGATGCGCCGGGCAACTTTCGGATTAATTTTTTTAAAATTATTACTTACCCGATCTGGAAATTTTCAAATTTTTGGAAGTTACGTATCGAACAATAAAAACAGGAGCCTGGCTTTTAAGGAGAAAAAAAAATGTACCAACACTTTAGAATATATGGAACCTTGAAGAAAGAGAAGATAGACGTTGTCATATTTTGAAAGGTGAAGAGCAAGTTCTGTCAAAGTATGGTTCGGAATAATAGGTGCAGTATTTTTTTATCACAATGTAAATTCCCAACGCTACTTAGAGCTTTTCAATATTATTCATCACTTTGTTGAAAATGAAGTGCCTGAAAGGGAACGACGAAATTTAATTTGACAGCAGGATGGCGCTCCTTATCACGAAAGTCAAGAAACTAGCACCTATTTAAATGCGCACTATAGAGAATGGATTTTGGAGAATGGTAGTTACGCCTGACCTCCAAGTAGCACCGACTTAACTCCCCTAGATAATTTTCTATGGGGTACACTTAAGCATTTAGTGTACAAATATAAGCCGTCAACTGCCGAGGAACCTAAAGGCACTTAAATCATTAAATACAATTAACTTTTGTATTTAACTTTTGGCTCCATCCGCTATAGTTTCGAAGATGTGGTCCATCCTATGAAAATTCTTTTAAAAATTACGTTTTTTGTATTGAATATGACATATACGGGGTGAGTCGATAAGTAGATACCAAGTTCTTTTTTTAAAATGGAACGCCATCTGGTAAAGTCGATTTTCGAATATATTTTCGCTTAAAAAACAAGTCTCGTACCTGCCCAAAATTTCTCGAACTTGTGTTTTAGTAATTTAATAGTTCAGGCGCGCCCATTTTTTTTGTTTTTCTTGCGGCCACTTACGCTTTTGGCGGATGCGCCAGACCTACTTTATCGATTTTTAAAGTTATACACCAAACTTAAGTGGAATGCCATCCGCTTGCGTCCTTTCTTTATCATGGGAATTAAACTTCTTGATGAGTGCCCTGGACAAAATGGCTTAAGGTACTTGTTCACGTCAAAATTTGCAGATTAATTTAATATTCAGGTATTTTTCTTGCATTAAATATAACATATACGGGATTAGTCAAAAGGTCGATGCGAAGTTTCTTTTTTTAATGCAACGTATTTTTTTAAAATCGATCTTCGAATATACTGTATCTATTTTTTTGAGACGCTTAAAAAAGGTCTTGTACCTGTCAACGAAATTCTGTATTTTTCGAACTTGTCCTTAAATAATTTAATCGTTCAGGTGCGTCCACCTTTTGTCTTTGTTCGCAGTTTTGGCGGATGCGCCAGACCTACGTCGACGAAATATTAATTATTATCGATTCGACTTGAAAACTTAATTTGCAACTTTTTGGGGATTGCCGACCAGCAACCCGTTAAACCCTTGCGTCTAAGATCTTTAATCTATCATCGGAATTGTACCTTGTGATCAGTGTCCTGGATAAAAGGCTTTCAGGTACGTACTAATATGAAAATAAGCATATTTATTTAAAGATCAGGTATTTTCTTATTGCGCATTTTTAGCGGGAAATATCAAATATACGGGGTGTGTTAAAAAGTAGATGTCGATACCAAGTTCCTTTTTTAAAATCGAATACCATTTTTTTAGTCGATAAAGTTTTGTATTTCTTGGACTTGCGCCCCAGCAATTTAATCGTTCAAACAGATCCATTTTTTGCCTTTGTTGTGTTGTTCGCGGTTTTGGCGGATGTGCCGGACTCACTTTAGCGATCAGGGTCCCTAACAAAAAGCCTAAGGTGGGAATCAGGTATTTCTCTTGCGCATTTTTAGCACAGGGCGGGTCAAAAAGTTAAATAGAATTTCTTTATGATCCGATATTCCTAAATGATGGTGCCTAGTGGTAAATACCTAAATTGTAGGGGTATTCGGGTACACATATTCCCCTACGGATGAGAGGAAATCGTACTCAGCATCTACGTTCATCCATTAAAAAAAAAAGAACTTTGAATCCACATCTACTTTTTGACCGACACTATATATTTTCAAGTCAAGTGAATTTTTTCCCATATTTTAGCCATCGGCTGCCAAACATTGACACAAATCTTACAAAAATTATTAAATACGCTTCTGGAGTTCTTTTTTCTAGTCGCATTAAAAGAAACCATTGTCAAATGTCAAATTTTCACGGATTCGCAAAATGGTTTTTCAATAATTTTTGTCAAACAAGTCAAGTTAAGGCATATATTTACGCCTCGTACATCTATCGGTATAATACCGCGATGTCAAACAATTTGAAGGCTTAGACTCGTTGTTTCGACGCGTTATCAGTCAGTGTTTTGAGGTGAATACGATGTGAGATCGCGGCGGCTTTGCGTAAAGATGAACGTAAGGTCCACCGAATGACATACCCGAAAATCTATCCAGGACCGTCTTCGCAGATAAGATTATCGACAAGAACCCGATGCAATTGCGTTATCTTTGCGTTCCGCTTTATCAGTCATTTATCTGGCTATTCTGATTTGACGAATCTGTTACCCATTGTTTCAAGGTAAGCCCTTTATTGTAGCTCGCGGACTTATATAATTGTAAATCATCGGAGTGTAAATTTGCGGTTTTACGTAAGGTTTACTTATGGTGACGAAGAACTGAAACAAACGATTTTCGTGACTCAAAATTCGGTAGGGTTTGGACGAACTCGCGATACAAACGAATTGCAAGGGCGCTGACGTCATATTTCGAGTGGTCAGGTGATGGTACGGTCATGTGACCGAAGTAGGTGCGAGCAATTAATAAATGACACTCAGCGGTTTTCCGATGCAATTCGTTAATTTTTCGATGTTGTGCCAAGACTCGGGGGCTCGTCTAAGCTGCCGAATGCGGTCTGACCAAGAAAGTGCGGCGGTTCCTGTGAAGCATTAAAGGTAAAGTCTGTTCATAGATATAAGAAAGTGACTAAGGAAAGACCCGGGCAAGCTGTAAGAATGGAATATGGCCGTACTTTGCTTAGAATTTAATTATTTGGGGTTTTGTTAGGAAAGATACTAAACAATATTTATTTATTTATGTAGGTATTTATGTTTAAATCTAAAATAAAATTACAAATTATTTTTATGACCCACTTAAATTACTTAAAATTATTCACATAATATATCAGTATCACTATCGCTATCATCGCCTGTTCTCATTATTATTTGTTCTATATTATGTTCTGCTTTTTCTATATGTTTAACAGAATTTGCCCAACTTTGTGGAGGGATGTTAAAAACTTCGATTTCTATAAGTTTGAGAACATTGGAAAAACATTGTTACGACGAATGGCAGAATTCAGTTGGTGCCAAACATGTTCAACGGGATTAAATATACAGTGGTAAGGTGGAAGCCTTAAACCTGTATGCCCTAGATTTTTTGCATGATCACAGACGTATTCCTTTTGTAGATTCAAGCTTTGAAGAACCTCAATTAATTGCTTTTTGGTATAATCTTCGTGAAAATAAATGTCGTTATTATAAATGTAGTTTTGGATTATTGCTTGTGTATCACATGAGGAAGGGGAACTGTCTACTGTGATAACTTGCATTCTCCAATACAATGACGCTATTAGGAGGAATGTTTGAAAATAGTTTGTTTTTAAACCAACTTTCAAATAAATCAGCGGTGGTGTCTTCATGGTAATCCAGAGAAGAATCTTTAATATTTTTCGCAGACAGAGAAAGTCCATTTGGAATCCAACCATCTTTAGAGCCTGCATGCAAAATAGTTATTCTTTTACCTCTTTTTGATGGCGCGTTTGTTTTACACTTATCAGTTGAGTCAACCCAACCCTTTTCCGGTGTATCGTAAGTGTCGAACCAGGTTTCGTTCAAGTAAATAATTGGCCTTTGTTGTTCTCTGTAAATTCTAATTTTTTCTAGATATTCCAGTAGCCATCTCCGAATTCTAAAAGATTCCATTAAAACTTGCCTTTTGTCAATTTTTTAAAATCTAAAACCCATGTGTTGAATACACTTCCATATGGTAGTTCTGCCACATTTAACACCCGTTTCATCCTTTTCAAGCCTCCTAATCAATACTAATAATAATTATCTACACTCGAGAAAATGTCAGCATCGCTTCGTTTTTTCCTCGCTGAAATGATGTTGGAATTTTCGTCAATGTGGCCGTTTCTTCTGAATATGCTTTCTTTCTGGCACCACGTTCAACGAGAGTCAAATAAACATTGTTTATAACTTCCTTAGTCTCAATAGAATAGTGTTTTATACATTTGGGCGGGAGCATCTCCTGAGATACACTTGACTCGTACATATTTTGCATAATTCGCACACGATTCAACACACGCTGTATGAAATAAGACTGATTACTAATAAAGTTAAACTAAGTAGTATACAAAACCAAAGAATATTAAACACAGGTAGGTATAAAATTATTTTCCATTACGAACCACAATTTTACCAGAATTTGAATTCCGAAACTTTAGATAATAATCTTGTTGCGTTGTATCTTAATGACCACCTTTGGATAATCCCATTCAAAAGCAATTGGTCACTTTTTTATATCTATGAACAGACCATATCTTCGAAAATCATGACTTGCTCGCTTGCCTGGAAAGTGATTGTTCGAAAAAGTCCTAAATTTTTGGAAAAACAGTTTAATAAGAAATTCGTAAAGTAGAAACTTTTGAGAGTTGGCAAAGCTTTCGGAAATAAAATATATTTTTTTAATTTCCACAATGCTACTTTAGATATTTTAATGAAAGTTTACCCAAGTGGGCTATGTATCAAGAGGCATTTTGGCAGACATTTCTTACTCAAGCAATTGGCTATCAACTTTCTTATTTTAAATGGAACGCCTGGTATTTTACTTCATTTTTGAATTCTATACAAAATTCTAGACATGTTTTGTGTATAATGTTCTATACCTAAGCCTAACCTTTTATGACATTTTTAATTTTTTATGCGAAAAGTGACGTTTCACTTGAGTAAGTTCTGGTTAGTTTATATACAGAGAACGCGAAAAATAAGATTAAAAATGAATATTAAAAAATTGCCAAAAAAACTTTTTTTTTAATGGAAACTATCCATTTTTCCAATCTTGTCATATTAAGCATATAAAAAAATTAAGGCAATTTTATATGAAGTTGTGTATGCCTAATATTTTTACTTCTTGAAATATTTTGTTGCCATATAAGTTCAGTTCGTGTAAGGTGCTAGAATGCTGCTGGCGTGTTATGTTTACCACAGACGGAAAGATTGATTTGTTAGAATTTTACACATCGAACGATAATAATTACTATCCCTTGTATGCATTAATTTTTTATTGATCGTTCAATAATTCGTTAATTAATTAACTTATTTAAAATACAAATAAAATATGTGCCAACAAAAAACAAACGGAAATGTCAAAGGTTGTTTATACCTTAATGAGCAAAAAAAAAAGGTTGTGATGTCATAGCCAACTACATTTATAAACATTTTGAGATTTCTTTATATAACAATGCCGGATGAAAAGAGCATTTTAAGAGGGACATTTTTAACTAAACTCTATGGACCGAATTAACGAACACGTAGCTTATAAACTTTTATATTATTTTTTTAATTACTTATTTCGATCAAGCCAGATAATTAAACACGAAATGTTTTTTTTAGATATGATTTCTAAAGTTTAATTAAATCTGTATTGTTAGCGGTAGATTTTATTCGTATGTGTGGAGTATTACGTCTTAAAATGAAGTAAGATCATGTCTTTGCTATTTAAAAAATATTGCCATCGAGTGACCTAGATTCAACAACTAACTAACCAAAATGGCACCACCTATTTGGGACATCCTGTATAAGCTGAGGCGCATATGTCAAACTAATTGAGTAATGCATCATCTCCTTAGTCTGTGGTTAAATTTTCGTTGCAATACCTTTGTCAGTAGCGTCACAACACAATTTTATATGGGGCAATCAAAATATTAAAAAAAGACCCATAACCTCAATTTCTGCCGAATAGAAAGTGACCTTTATTTTAACCAAGGATTTCAAAAATGTCGCCATACACAGGGCGTTCCATTTAAAATAACAAAGTTGATGTCGGAGGGGCACTTTTGGGCACCCTGTATTAATCTTCAATCTTCAGGAGAGTCCCAGAAAGTGGGTCGATTTATTTGGCACACGGTGTACCAGATGCCCCGTATAAAAAAAAAGTATTTTTTCGGAAGATCAACTTCGATGGCCTTCACTTTCTATAATTTATTCGCCAATGAGCGGAAAATCACGTATCGGCGGTTCTAATCAATATCGATTGTAGTTTATTGACTTGCGATTCGACGCATTAGATTTCAAGTGCTTGACGCGACAGAGTCACGCGGTACATTTGAACGCCGCAACTAAAAATAGATCAGAGTGAATATAAATTTAAAGCTTTGGCGGGATCTTTCCGCCGTGTTGCTACTTTTTTTGTAAGAAACGGATGCCTCTACACGCGCACCATGTTGCCTACCAGTGATTACGTGTGTTGTGTAACAAAACTGCTTTTCTTTATTAGGTATTACGCGATTAAAAAAAATCATAACGATCTCTTCCTCTCGATGTGAAGCTTGTTTTAAAAAATAATGCGTAATTTTAATTTTTTTTGGAAAAACAGGTAACAAAGTAAGGAATGTTGGCCGACTTGTAATTAATAGAGTTCCTTACCCTAATAATCTAATTACCGAGAACCTGGTCGTCCTAAGTGCTTTTCTTCACTTCTAATTTGACTTAGTGAATACGGCGAGCAAGGTGAGTAAGGAAAACATTTTATCTCTAGATGATAAAGTCGACAGAAATGTCACTAACGATCGACTGGAGAAGACGTGGAAAGAACTAGCCGAAAAGTACCCCTGCTGACGACATTTTTATTGATAAATTGGTTAAGGCTTTCGCGGCCCGTTGATAAGCTATTATCTTGATTCGGGTTTAAAGGCCGTCGTCGATTGGAATTACTTCCTAACGTTTCGCTAGCACGAGTGGCGAGCTTCTTCAGAGGTCCTTCCATCTCCGATGTTGGACGTAGACTGACGATTTCTCCTGCGCAGGTTGTATTTATGCCGATTGGTGGTGGGCGGGGCTTGTTCCGCTTCGGTTGGTCTCGGGATATCGATCGGTACTGCTCGGGCGTTCCTAAGGATCGGGTTCCAGATTTGGTTGAGTCTAAGGGTCTCCTCCTTTCGGTTGAAATTGTGTGGGTGTTTTTGTATCTCAATGGCTTCCCTGACTAGTCTGTTGTGATAGCCGTTGACCGATGCTAGTAACTTACAGCTCTCAAAGTGTATCCTGTGTTCCCCGCTGCCCAGTGCGCGTTCAGCTACTGAAGACTTCTCTGTATGTCCTAGCCTGCAGCTTGCTTTATGCTCCTTAAGTCTCTTTCCCATTGATCTCTTGGTAGTCCCGATGTAGACCTCTCCGCATGAACACGGAATGCGGTAGACTCCTGCAGCTGCAAGTGAGCCCCTCTTGTCCTTCGCTGACCTGATGGTCTGCTGGATCTTCTTTGTGGGCTTAAAGATTGTTTTGATGTCGTGTCTTTTCAATACTCTGCCAATCCTATCGGTGACACTCGGAATATACGGCAGATATGCCTGGGAGGTGGAGGGTCGTTGTTCGGTATCCCGTGATCTTGATGATCTTGAGTTCATTGATCTCTCGATCTCCCTCTTGCTGTAGCCATCTGCCTCGAACGCAGTTTTTAGGTGTTCAAGGGTTCTGATAACCCCATACTTTTGACTTGGGTGATGGTTGGATAGAGCATGCAGGTCCGTATGGGTTGGTTTTCTGTAAACTGTGTGGCCCAGCTTCTTACCTCGCTTCCTCACTAGTACGTCCAAGAATGCAAGTTGTTGGTCATTTTCAGTCTCCATAGTAAACTGGATGCTGGGATGCTGACTGTTAAGATGCTGCAGAAAGTTGTTGAGCTGGTCCATACCATGTTTCCAAATCACGAAGGTGTCATCCACGTACCGGAACCACGTTGCTGGCTTGTACTCTGAGGTCTCGATCGCTTTTTCCTTAAAGTGTTCCATAAATAAGTTGGCTATAACCGGGCTTAGCGGGCTTCCCATTGCCACTCCGTCCACCTGTTCAAACATGACGCCAGATAAAGCTCTTAAATTTCGAAGCGAAAAGTGTGTGGGTGGAAAACTTTCTAAAGAACGTATAACAGTGGTAGTAGCTGCCGATATGAGTGGGAGAGAAAAAAGAAAGCTAATCGAGATTGGAAAATCAACGATGTTACATGGATGACATCGCAAATTTTTGAAGTGGATATACGGAAATGGGATGCAAAATTAAAGGGGAGGAAAATATTATCAGGATTTGCCTACAACAGCAGACTTGGCAGAGGAAGCCATATTACAACAAGCAAGAAAGGATGAGGAAGAGCACCAAGAGGAAGAAGAAGATGAAGAAGTTGATCTGGGTCCACCACCAACCATTCAACAAGCCCTATATTCAGTTAGGTTGCTAGAAAAATTGTTTATGCATCATGGGGAGGATGCCCCTCTCGAAGAAATGGTGAAAATACAAGCCAATGTACGAGATGTGTATTCGCATACTAAAAAAATTCAAAAGAATATATGACCTATTGTTTGAAACATTAAATGTAGTTCTTAAATATTTATATAAAATGTTCCTAAGTAGATGTTGAAATGTGTATATAAAATATGTGGAATAATAATAATAAATAAAATTTACTGTGACTGAGATTTTAATAAATCCGAGATTATTTTGTTAACGCCGTAGTTGTAATTTATTTTTATTTTATTATATTTGTTTTGGTTAGTTTCGGTTAGTACATAATTTTCTAGAATTTTGATATTGTCTATAAATTATTTAAAGGTAAAACAATCTTTATTAAAGTATTCATTTTTTACATCTATTTTAGAAACATCGGTGGATAGGAATTTACATAATTAAAAAAGGAGATTGAAATCAATTTTGTTTAAATCAATTTTTTGATAAATTTGTTGTTATTTTAGGTCTGATAAGAATTTGCTGGGTTTTTGTGTCGTTCATATAAACAAATTTATTCGATGAAGATACAGGGTGGTAAATTTTTCAAAAAAAATATGTTTTTTTTTTAATATCTGTAATATTATTTTAGATATTCTAATCTGGCATCAGTCAGGCATTATTTAGTGTACCACATTTTTTTGAAAATACACCAGTGGCGGGGGCGTATCTAATTTCACCTCTCCATTTTGGCAGACATTGACGGTATGCCACTGATTTTGTCTTAAAATAAAAATTATTCTTACAATCTCCAATTATTTCTAAAGAAATAAAATAAAATCATCCTCTCTTAGTTTTAATTTTTAAGCGAATTCAAATGTCATTCCTTTTTCAAGGAAACATTTTGGTTAATTAGGTCACCATTGCATATATCTAAAGCAAAATATTTAGTCTTTAGTTATATATCAACTAGTGTACTTCGGGAAAAAATTTATTAGAAGATTTTTTCTTTTACTTTTACAGTTCATAACACGCTAACAACAAGATAAATAATAAACAATTCTTAGTTTAAAAAAACACTACGTACCATTAATAATATTTAAAGAAATTGCTTGTTATTAAATTAATAACAACATCTTTGAAAAAAAGCGGAACACAGTTCATTAAAAATGTAAAAGTAAAAACAACTTCTAATATTTTTTGTTCTAAAGGACGCGAACTAATAACTAGATATTTTGTTCTAGACAGATATTAAGGAAGGAAATTAAATTTCTTTAAAAACGATTGGAGATTGCAAGAATAATTTTTATTAGAGAAATCAGTGGCGTACCGTAAATGTCTGCCAAAATAGAGAGGAGAAATTAGGTAAAGTCTGTTCATAGATATAAGAAAGTGACTAGCTGATACGAATCAATTAAAGACCCGGGAAAGCTGTAAGAATGGAATATGGCCGTACTTTGCTTAGAATTCAATTATTTGGGGTTTCGTTAGGAAAGATACTAAACAATATTTATTTATTTATGTATGTATTTATGTTTAAATCTAATATAAAATTACAAATTATTTTTATTACCTACTTAAATTACTTAAAATTATTCACATAATATATCAGTATCACTATCGCTATCAACGCCTGTTCTAATTATCATTTGTTCTATATTATTTGCAATATCGAAATACGATTGTTCTGCTTTTTCTATATGTTTAACAGAACTTGCCCAACTTTGTGGAGTGATGTTAAAAACTTCGGTTTCTATAAGTTTGAGGACATTGGGAAAAACATTGTTACGACGAATGGCAGATTTCAGTTGGTGCCAAACATGTTCAATGGGATTAAATATACAGTGCTTAGGTGGAAGCCTTAAAACTGTATGCCCTAGATTTTTTGCATATTTGTCACAAATGTACTCCTTTTGCAAGTTCAAGCTCTGTATAACCTCAATTAATTGCTTCTCCATTGAATAAAAACTAAACCAAAAAACTAAGAAATGATCCAGCAACTTCTTATCAAACTCAAAGTAACCACAATTGGCCACCGAACAATCGACTAGCCCCGTATAACGATACCGTTCCACCTGGAGAAAACGAACGCTTAAAGGTTATTCCATGACGCTGTGACGTTCGAACGCGAGTAATTTGTTTGTCTACTTTCTCCTTTGTGTGGAATTAGAATCAAAAATGTCCAACAACCTTCGACAACGTTTGCTCATGACAAATCGTGTTAAAAACAAACGATAACCGTGTTTATTGAAATTATCAACGCCGCGTTGCAGGTGTTCCACGGGCGATGGCTGGCGAGGCCAAAGAGAAAAATTGCGACATCCATTCCGTCCCTGATGGCGGCTGGGGATGGATGGTCGTTCTCGGAGCAGCGCTGATCAACGTAAGTGTTGCTTCAAAGAAAACGTTATAGATAACGCTAGAAGAAACTATGGGCGATTTATAAATACGTGGGAAACCAAATTTAGACATTTTTAAACGGAACACCCTGTATATTATGGCCCTTTTATACCTAACCATCCAATACAGGGTTGTTATAGTTTATAACTAATGTTTTCAGATTTATGGGAAATTTTTAAAATCAAAAATGCCCTGTGTTTTTCGAATTTCTTATCTTTATTTATATTTTTACGAACAACACTCCGAAAATTGGTCAAATTACGAGACAATATCGCAATAAGCCAAGAAAAGTAAAATTAAATGGGCAAAAAAAAGGTCTACATGATTTTCGAACAAGTAAGTATCCCGATATAAGGCAGCCCCGAGAATTTGATGAATCCTTTTACTTTTTTCCAAGTGACGTGTAAAACAAAACACTATCAATTTTCGGACATATAAGAATACATCATATTTTTTAAATGGAACGCCCTGTATATTATATTTGTTTTTAATAGAATACCTTATTCCGATTACAATCATATTTATATAGGAAATTTTTATACAGTTCCAAAGAGTGCCCTGACTGACAAATAAAAATATGTTTGTCAATTCTGACGGTCATGTCAGTGAATATATTCGTATTGTTTTGCGAAAATGTACCCTAAAACTAGCGGTCGTAGAAAAAGTATAGTATGCGACACGTTCGGTAAACTGGCTGATGTTGATTGAGAAATACACTTTATTATTTCTCAACCTATCTCAATTCTCAATTCTTTATTATTATTGACTTTTAACAAAAGTATCGGATAATGTCAACAAGTAAAAAAAATACATTAGAACACTAAAATACATACTTTAAAAGCAGATACGTACAAACACAAAAAGTAGATCAGCATTACTACAATGAAAGTATTTATCGATAGAATAAAAAAAAATTCTTATTCGAAATGAGCTCCAATTTTTGCTTAAATAAATGGACGGGCAATAACAAATAACAAAAGTATGCATAGCCATTCTGTCCGGGACAAATTACTGTGTAAGAACAAACCCAAATACTTGACAACGTTAGTCGGATTAATCGATTTATCCTGCATTCTAACCAATAAGCTCTTGTTCAAATCCCTAAGCGAAAATATATACCGTGACGCTCACAATATCGTGTCATACGACTTCTGCCCTAGTGACCAAGAACGTCAGATCTTCCAGACTCCTAGGTGACACTGCCACAGCAGTGTCACCTGATACTTTTAACACTTTTTGGACAACCCGTATAGTAGGAAAGTGATACACTAAGAATTTTCGAAATGCTTCAGGCTTAAATCTCATTTTCTTCAGAAATTTGGTCGAAATCAATGTCTTTTCTTTATTTGCTCCTTTTAGACCGTTAATCAGGCGCTGTTCTCCGTGTTTGGGCTGATATTTGGGGAAACGTTGAAAGAAATGGCTCAGGGGAAAGCGACTGGGATCACCCTCGTCATGGCGGTCAGTGTTTGCGTGACGAATTTCTCCGGATTGTTGGTGGGCCCGATGATGAAGCGACTCAGCGTAAGGACCATCACCATATTCGGGGTGTTTTGCGTCAGTTTCGGCATGATCACGTCCAGTTTCGCCACGCAGATCTGGCACGTCGTCATCACCTACGGGATGTTTACCGGTGAGCTCACCAATTTCTTTCCAGAAGGGTGGCCAGTAGGAAGACAGGATGCTTCGTACGGAATATATAATACTGCAAGGTTGGGAATACAAAAAAGAAACTTTCTCTTTTTTAAAAATATTTTCCCCCCATAAACCTCATTTTTTTAACAAATTCAATCTTGGGTTAATTTTTTTAAAATACACCAGTGGCGGGCGTAAGGAATTTGACCAGTCTATTTTGACAGTGATTTTTCTTAAATTGAAATTTGTTCCGACCCATCTGGCTGTAAGAACTCCATAATTGCGGTACAATAAATATTTCCTCGTGATTTTTCAATACTGCGTCTTCTAGGCTTAGGACTCGGATTGGTGGCGTCATCTACCTTTCTGGCGATCAGCGAGTTTTTCACTACGCGAAAAAGTACGGCAGTCGGCCTATCCATGGCCGGGACCAGCGCCGGTCAAATGGTCATGCCCATATTCGTCGGAATCCTGTTAAAGTACTACCAATTCAGCGGTACGACTTTCATATTGGGCTGCATCAGCGCTTGCGGAATAGTCGGAGCCTTATTGTTCAAGGTCGGTAGCGGTTTTTCTCGAGTAACGTGAAAATTAATTGTTTTCTGACGGCAGTGTGATTTCAGCCTCTGTGTTGTTGTAAAAAAACTCAGATCGGCGAGAGTTCCAAATACGACGTCAACAGCAATCAGAACTTGCAGTCGATCCAAGATGACAAGCACATTTCTGAGTCGCTACTGAAGGAAACGCGAGTGACCATGGCGGAAGGCCAACCCAATAGGAAGGGCATGCCCATTGTTATCACTTCGAGCGGTAAGGGTTTTCTATAGAAATCGTCATCCCGTATTCTTCTCTATTGCTGGTAGTTAGAGTTATTGTTGCATTTGGTACCATTCTAGTTCTAGTAGTTGAGAGAAGAATTTAGCAAAATTTTTATAGCGAATTAAGAGCACCCATAACCATGATTTGGTACGATGATACCAATTTAAACCTCATTTTTGCAGAAGAATTTCTGTATACGGACTCTCATTTTATCCTATTGCTATGAGCTTTTAAAAATTTTTTTCATTTAAGTTTTCCTATCCTAACAGGATAAGAAAAAAGAAATCTTGCGATTGCGAAGAATTACATATACTGAAAATTGAAAATTGAAAAAAAATAAAATTAGCACCCAAAAAAATCTCAAATTATTGACAAAGGAAACAAAAATCAAAATCCGCAAAGATTAAAAATCACTGCAATTTGTTTTTTATTGTTAATGTTTTAGCAATGCAATTAAAATACGAAAAAATACTTTTTTATTTAAATTGTCTGCCGAATAAAAACCCTAAGGGGAATGGAGTGTTGGTTTTAGCACCCTGTATATTATGGAATATAATGGAGACGATTGCATAATTTTTTTTTAAATAAGTAAAATTTTGCCTTTAAGCGGTTTTGCCTGAAAATGAACTTTTTTGCAAAGTTTGATATTATCCCATTTCTATGCGTTTTTGATTTTTTTTTAAATTTAAATTAGTAAATAAAAATATTAGCTCCAATTGTAAAGAAAACAGATGGGATTTCACCTTTTTTTTACCATTTAAGAGCACTTTTCAATCATATCATATCAGAAGTTTATAGGTTCGAAAAGAACTACATTTTTTTGAAAATTGAGAAATGAAACTCAAAATCCGGAAAGATATTAAAAATCACTACAATTTGTTTTTTGTTCGGAAAAAATTTCTATGTGTTTTTTGATATCAATGAACAAATAACAAAATGGCTCCCATTGCAACGAAAACAGATGCGATTTCCCGTATTTTTTTGCGATTTAAGAGCACCTATCAATCATATGATAAAAGAAGTTTATAGGTTCAAAAGAAATTTATTGAAAATTGAAAAATTTAAATTAACACCCAAGAAAATCTCAATTTATAGACAAAGGAAACGAAATTAAAAATCCGAAATGATTAAAAACCACTGCAATTTGTTTTTTCATGTCAATGTTTTAGCAATGCAGTTAAAATAACGAAAAAATACTTTTTTATTTAATTTGTCTGCCGAATAAAAACGTTGAAAGAAATGCAGTTTTGGTCTCATCACCCTGTATATTGGGGAATATGATGGAAACGCTTATATCATTTAATTTTTTTTAATTAAGTAAAATTTTGCCATTAAGCGGTTCAATCAATCAAGAAATTTAAAAAAAGTTTAAAAACCACGGCAATTTGTTTTTTGATGTTAATGTTTTAGCAATACAGTTAAATTACGAAAAAATACTTTTTTATTTAAATTGTCTGCCTGCGAAAAACGTAAAAGGAAATGCAGTTCTGGTTATACCACGCTGTATATCATGGGATACGATGGAGACGTTTAAATCATTTAAATTTTTTAAAAAATTAGTAAAATTTCAGCGGTTTTCCTTGAAATTGGACTTTTTGTTTCTTTGTACAAAGCTTCATTTTATCCCATTTCTACGCGTTTCTGGAAATTTCGCTCCCATTGTAAAGACAGCAATTGGGATTTTACAAAATTCTTCTTGCGATTTAACGGTACCTATCAATCAAATCATGTCAGAAGTTTATGGTTTCGAAATGAATTACATTTATTGAAAATTAAAATACATTTATAACATATATAAAATATATATTGTCTACCCTGTATAAAACTATCTTAGAACCCGTACCTAAAATATCGTGTTTTTATATTTACATGGTATTTTCGTTCACCGCTATCTACTCTCTCATTTAAAATGGAAAACAAATGGATTACTGAAGTGGTCGAAAGAGGACGCGACATTTACGACATTTAAAACCGTTCGATTCTAGTTCCTTGTCGTTCTTGCGTGAAAATAAGTGTATTAATTCTTTACCGGCAACGAAGGTTTCGTCCATAAAAATAAAGACAAGATTACTGCGGGAAATAAATTTCCATAACGTCCGGGATATCTTTGATGAGGAGTTATTACCCTGCCTCGAGTAAAGGCATTTGGCTTTGCATTTTTGTAAGACGAGGAAGACGGTTACGGGTCTCTTTATTAGATGCCGTTTACTTAATATCGTTACTGGAACATCGTGAAATGAAGTATATTAGTTTTAAAATTGTCCTGGGCTACGATATTGTTGGCAGATGGTTAAAAAAGCAATATTTCGTAGCAAATATTCTTCAATTTCAGTCCTGTTTTTAAAACCACCAGTCTGGAATGAAATCCCACTTCTGATTCTGGTGCTGAGTGACATCGATAAAGATGTCACAAAATTTTAGAGAGCACAGTTAATAATACTATTCCCAAAATCGAAAGAATTGTAGGCAAGGATTCACAGAATGTTGAAAATCTTTCACAAGCGAGGCTAAAACTTCTGCAAAAAGCAACTACAACTACACTGTAACCAATTTAACGAGTAATTCTAAAAGTTTTTGTTTCATAAATACAGTTTTGAAAATAAGAAAGTTTCATTCCTGATTCTCGTATTTTAATTTATCCGAAACAATGTTAGTAGTGGTAATACCCCTTTTGAGCGCCCGCCTGCGGAGATTTGATATATCAAGGTCTGACCTTGAAATTTTTTTTGCCAAACCAAAACAAATTGTTCAATGAAATGAAAGGAATTAAGTACGAATCTGTCAGTTTTTTCTGTAAGTGGTGTTAAGAAGCTATAGAATAAATAAATATAACCAGTAACTTTGTGGAGTATATCTCGGTTATTAATAACATGGGTTTCATCTTCTTCTAGCTGCCTATTCAGTTTAGCTAAAAAGGAACAATCTGGTTTTGATAAAGCTAATACATTTTCCTTCTTCATCTTCTTCTTCCGTCCACAGAATCACTATGTTATCTCCATTCATTCAATAATTCACTGTTAAGCTTCATCTTTTATCGAGGATACTGACGTTATTGATCTTTAGCAAGAAACATTCCTACAAATTATTGAGGCATATTAAAAAAAAACACGGACAAGACTTGCAAATTAAACAATCTACTTCACATCTTCATAATTGAGATTGGGAACTTTAGATTATCTAAGAAAAGTTTCGATTTTAAGTTTTTTTTATTGTTTTTCAACATTGAGATGCTTTCTGGTACTGAACCTTTCGCTTAGTTTTTATGCCAAGAAAGGCTTTAAATTGTATCTTCTACCGTTCTAGAAGAATACTTCCAGCATGTAGATCAATTTTTAAAGCTGTTACACTTAACTTTCTCCTCAGTTTTTATGTCTCCGAAAAAACGAGATGCGTGTCAGTGATTTTAAGTTTTTTGATTGTGTTCAAAGGGTGGTAGAAGAATTTTAGAATTTTTCCAGCACATAGGTTCAATTTTAGGCTGTTATGGAACTTGTCAAATGGATTTAATGTCATATAATATAAGAGGAATGAGGTTTTTCAAAACTGCTTCAGTTTCACGAAACCTTAATTTTTATGCCCCTGACAAAAGAGAAGCTTCTAATAGATTTTAAGATTTGTGTCCCAAAATTGAGAGGTTTGATCTTGAAAATTTTAAAAACGGCTTTAAGTTGTATCTTCTAATGTGCTAGAAGAAAACTTCCAGCATATAGATCCAATGTTATGACAGTTATTAAATCAATGGGTGCATTTAATGTGATATCGTATGAGAGGAAAGAGGTTCTTCAAAGCTGCTTCTGTTGTACGAAACCTTAATTTCAATTTTTATGCCCCCGACAAACGGGAAGCTTCTAATCGATTTTAAGATTTTTTGTTGTGTTCCGATGCCCTTAGAAAGTCTGGCAGAATCGTCCAGAAGGCCCACGTGCCTCAGAATGGTCGCCAAGACGTGGGACCTCCACCTACTCAAAGACTTCAAATTCGTGCACATGTCCCTCGGTCTGGGCTTAGCATACGTCAGCTCCGTTAGCTTCAGCACCATTTTCCCGATGTTCCTGCAGGACGAGGTCCGGTTTACCATGTGGGAGACCACCACGTGTATGACGGCTTTATCTGCCGCTGATATCGCGGGAAGGCTCACCACCTCCGAGATTTGCAGAAGGTTTGGCCTTGGGAACAGGTCGCAGTTTATGCTGGGAGCCGCGTTGCTGGCCGTCGCAAGATCATGTACGGATAAACTCATGGAAAATCTACCGGAACTCAGTGTTGGGTATTTGTAGGTCTCGTATACGTGACGGAATACAAAATGGTCTTGCTTTTCTCCGTCGTGGTGGGTTACGTAAGGGCAGTCACGGTGATCAATCAGAACTTGGTGATCTCCGAGTACATCCCCAAGAGCGAGCTACCATCGGCTGTCGGTTTGAACATGGTCGTCAAGGGATTCTTCGTTATGACCGTCGGAGAGCCTCTAGGTAAGAACTGCACACCATACCAATCAAAAGTATCAAAATGGTTTATTCCATGTTATAAAAGTTGGAAGTTAGGTATGGCGGTTTCAGCGACAAATGGTATTGCCCATAGGGACTACCACAAATCAAGACCAACCAAAGGTTCGAAAAAACATTTAGTTTACACAACAACCCACACAAAAACAAAGAAACAAAAAGCCGTAATTTATAAAAGTAGCAATCCGTATGTACCAATAAACATAACATATATTTGTTTTATTATTATAAACTAATGGGGTAGAAAAAATTTATAAATACTTTGAAAATGTTAATATTAAATACCAATAATGTGATTGCATACGTAATTTATTAAGGCAGTAACCTTACATTTCCAAAAAAGACATATCTTTAGATAAAATTTATAAAAGCAGCGATCTCGTTATACCAAAAAGCATAATATATCTTTGTATGTAATTTATAAAAGCAACAATGTCGTTATACCAAATAACGTGATGCGTCTTTATATATAATTTATAATAACAGCAATCTGCTTGTGATTAAAAATATAATACATTTTTGTTGTTTTACTATAAAATAATTGAGTAGAAAAATTTTATAAATACTTTGAAAACGTTAATATTAAAATCAATAAGGTGCTTGCATAATTAATTTATTAAGGCAGTAATCTCCCAATACCAAAAAAAATCTTTATATAAATTTTATAAAAGCACCAATCTCTTTATATCAAAAAACACAATACATCTTTGCATGTAATTTATAAAAGCAACAATGTATACCAAAAAAACATGATATATCTTTATATATAATTTATAACAACAGCAATCTGTTTGTGATAAAAAATATAATATATTTTTGTTGTTTTACTATAAAATAATTGAGTAGAAAAATTTTATAAATACTTTGAAAATGTTAATATTAAAATCAATAAGGTGTTTGCATAAGTAATTTATTAAGGAAGTAATCTCCCAATACCAAAAAAAAATCTTTATATAAATTTTATAAAAGCACCAATCTTTTTATATCAAAAAACACAATACATCTTTGCATGTAATTGATAAAAGCAACAATGTATACCAAAAAAACATGATATATCTTTATATATAATTTATAACAACAGCAATCTGTTTGTGATAAAAAATATAATATATTTTTGTTGTTTCACTATAAAATAATTGAGTAGAAAAATTTTATAAATACCTTAAAATTGTTAATATTGAATACCCATAATGCGATTGCATATGTAATTGATTAGGGCGGTTATCTCCCAATACCAAAAAAAAAAAATATCTTTATATAAAATTTATGAGCCGCAGTCTCTTAATAGCAAACAACATAATATATCTTTCTTTTCTTACTACGCAATAATTGACTAAGGGAAATTTTATAAATAATGTGATTACATAGGTAATTGACAAAACCAGGAATCTCTTTATCCCAAGCAACATAATATATCTTTCTTTCGCTGGTATAAAATAATTTCCGGTTCCCCGTATTAACTCTAGCCATAGTAACACGTTCTTTCTGTCCACAAAAAGAACAAATATGCACTCCAAGTGCAATGTTCCTCTCGATATTGATTTTTTTTCATAGTCTATTACAAAAGTAAAAACTTTATTGGATCATTAACTACAATTAGTAATTCAACTCTTTTTCAATTCTCTTGTTTATTTTAAATTTCGGGCTACCACCTTTACTTGCGGTGCTTCTGAAACTATTTAGTAATTTGCACCGCAACCTACCTGGCTTCATGCTCGTTAGGTAGACTTCTTTAAAGAACTAAAAATAAGAACTTGTGATCGTCATTTCCTTTTTGAATCGCCCGGTATAGTATCCGTTTACCACAGGAGGAGATCCGGTATGGTCATTAACATGGTTAATAACATAATAACATAACCTCAAAATTCACTCGCCTCTTGTAGGTTATGTTCGTCAAAACCCCCTTCATGTACGTTTGAAAATCTGCCGAAATGGACTGTCCAAAATACCGGTTGTTATGTTTCAGGCATGCTAAAAGACGCTTTCGACTATGACGTATGCGTGCACCTTCTCGACGTCATATTGCTCTGCGTGTTTACCAGTTGGTCGATCGAGATCCTGATCGGCAAGAGGCGTGGCCGCGACTCCAAGACAGAAACTTTCGCCACGTGAAAAGTCAGTGGCGTAGCGTTTCGCAGCTTTTGCGAGTGGATCGCCACTTGATGCAGCGATCGAGACCTCGATATCGTGGGTATTGTGGGAAAGTATAGTCGGGAACATTGACATTGTAGTGTGAAACATTCGATGAATCGATTAAATATCGTTACGGTTTTATAAATCGGTTTGTTTTATTGATAAGATGCTCCTTTACCTTGTCCCTGGGATTTCTTTTGTCATTAAAAGTTTTGCCATACATTTTTTTCGCTGTATCGAACCTTTCTTTCTAAAATAAAATAGTGTGATTAAGTTTAAGTCCATTTAATACAATAAGAACATTTTAGCTATAAACCTTTTTACTATCTTTAATTGTTCATAATAATCTAGACGGTATCTAATAATTTTTATTAATAGTATGTTCGATTAACGTTATTTTAAACTCATAAACCAGCCTAATTAGCAAAAATATTGTTCATAGGACGTTAAAATCTAATAACTGCCAACCACTGGAATTTTGGACGGTTTAATAATTATCCCTGTCTTTCAAACAAGACTTTTTAGTGTTCCCTTATATAGACCACTATTTTGAAAGTGGCAATTTTAAATACGGCCGGTATGTTCAACAGAAACACTCATTACTGGTGTATTTCAAATGACAATCGTTAAAAAAAAATTAATAATATATTACATTGTTGTACGTGATAGAGCAATAGGCCCAGTATTTTATGATTTTGTAAAGATTGCTTAATTTTGTTGGAAAACTATGTATCAATTGATAGAAGGTATGTATCAATTAATAGAAGATAATCTGTCAGACGACACTAAAGAAGGGATTACTTTTTAAAAAGGTAGCGCGTCATTGCTCGGTACAGGACCATAGAATGGCCAACGAGGAGTCCTGGTTTGACACCCCTACACTTTTTTATGGGATTACATAAAAAACTAAGTGGATTCAAATACGTGTGATAGTCTTCAAGGCTCAAGATGAGAATTCGGTAAGAGGTAGGAAGACTTAATGCAATGGACGCAATAGATGGAGGTTGTTCCTCTACTTCTTCTTTTGCAGTTGTTAATCACGATAATGCAATGATTCATTTGGTATTCATATAATATAGTCAACTTTTAGTTTAATTTATTTAGAGAGATGGAGGTTATATAGAAAATGTTTTGTAATTAGTAATGAGTTCTATTTGTTTGTATTTAAGTAACTAATCTTGAAAAAAACTTATTTGGAAAATAATGTTATATACGTTTAGTCAGGATTAAAATAAAACACAATAGTTGTTGCGCCTGTATACTATGGCTACGTACATATGAAATGCTGAAGATTAAATCCCAAATCCACTGTTTAATTTAAGGAAATTGAGTTTTTTTAATTGGAAAAACAATTTTTTATCATAATTTGTGATCACCCCCTTCCACCCATATTCTAGACGTAGATAAACATAAACAAAATTTTTTGTCGTCTTGTTTGCCGCTTAAAAAAAATTGCATCCTCGATTTTCGCGATTATTTTTCCCGACGTCTGGTTACGTGTGATAATCTGGGACCGTAATTTATGGTGGAACGCTTTCAGCCGCTCATTAACGTTGCCCGGGATCGATCTCAATAGTGGAAAACTGAGTTAGCCGTCAAAATGACGTCGCTTACTTTATTAGTTATGTGCTCGGCGCGCTTATGTTTTACCGTTCAAAGGCGATCCATTAGTCATTTTCGAAGGGCCTATAGTCGGCCTCATCTAGAGGATTCAATGGCGTTTCCAACGTTCCATATTAATTGAGAATAATCGTCGCAAAACCCGTTTAGGCTGGTAAATGGAAATTGTTATGGTATATTACGGCGTACGATAGCGGTATAAAACAAATAAATTAATTAATTGCCCAAACATGTACAAACGATACATTTAAAGTTGTCAGGATGAGCATCAGAAGTAAATATACAACATACATACTAAAATTCAGAGGTCACGTATAATAGCATTCTTCTCTTAAAATGTTTTTAATATTTTTTTTAAATTGAAACGGGGAACAATTGTTTTTGAGAGTTGCCGGTATTTTGTTATACAGTTTAATACCAATATGGACGATGAGTTTTGTTTACCTACTACTATTGTGACAGGAGATGAAACTATGGTTCTCTATTATGACCCTCTATCGAAAAAAGAATCAATGAAGTGGCGTCGTAAGGGTGAAGCATCTCCCAGAAAATGAAGAGTCTGCCAGTCAACAAAAAAGGTGATGGCCACGATCTTTTGGGATTGTGAAGGAATTCTCACTGTTAATTACGCAACATTATTACATAAATTGCGAGACTGCATACGTGTAAAACGTCGAGGAAAACTGCCAAGAGGCGTGCGTATTTTGGACGATAATGCACCTGTCAATACTGCTGGTGTTGCACACGCGGCCATTTTAGAGTGTGGGTTCCAACAGATAGATCATCCTCCCTATAGTCCAGATATGGCCCCCAGCGACTATTATTGGTGTGGATATTTGAAAAAGGACTTACGTGGACGGCGGTTTAACGACGAAGTTGAGTTAAAAGAGGCTGTTTTAGATCATTTTGCAGACAAACCAAAAGAATATATTTTTTAAAGAGATTGAGTTGTTAATAAAGAGATGTAATAAGTGTGTCCAAGTTAAGGGGGATTATATTGAAAAATAATAAAACATTGTTACTCTAGTTTGTTTCTTTCATATTCAGGCCGGGAAATTTTGGCGCTGCCCTCGTAAGTATCATACATGTGAAAGTCGGAATTCTTTATTTTTTCATATTCATGGACATACATTATGCACTGATACATAAAAATTGAAGGGAGAGTTAGTATGTTCATGTTTTTAAATAGTGGCTTCCAGTGATTCTTATCACGTCATATTACAAAGGACATCTACTAGAATCAATTTAAACATAATTTTTATTGTTAAGTGTCCAAATCAGTAAACGATGTTTTATTACGCAAAATAAATTTTGAGACAATTTATTATTCAATAACACGAGAAGAAAGATCCACATTCAATAATAATAGACGTAGTAGTTAATTAGGGAATATGTTGGAAGAAATACAAATACAATACAAAAAATAATGTATATGCTAATCTTCTGGATTCTATTAGTAGATCTGTAGATCTGTAGCGTCTGTTCATAGATATAAGAAAGTGGCCAATTGCTTTTGAATGGGATTATCCAAGGGTGGTCGGTCATTAACATACAATGCAACAAGATTACTACCTAAAGTTTCGGAATTTAAATTCAGGTAAAATTGTGGTCCGTAATAGAAAATAATTTTATACCTCCCTGTGTTTAATATTCTTTGGTTTGGTATACTACTTAGTTCAAGTTTATTAGTAATCATTCTTATTTCGTGTGTAATACAGTGTGTGTTGAATCGTGTGCGAATTATGCAAAATATGTGAGAGTCTAGTGTGTCTCAGGAGATGCTCCCGCCCAAATGTAGAAAATACTATTCTATAAGGTTGTTCGGAAAGTCATTTCGTTTTTTCCCGTCAGAGGACTTGATTACGTTTTTTCGAAACCAACTTCACACTTAAGCCGCATAACCATGTCTTGAGAGCTGATATTGCAAGGCTTGTGTGTGAAAAAGTTCTATTAATTCTACGCAGTAGTTTTTGGTTGGTGCCCTTTTAAATATGGTGCCCTTTTTTACTTCAGAAAAGGTAAAAATGCTGTCCAAGCGAGAAAAAAATTGAAGGATGTGTATGGAGAAGGCGTGTTAACAGTACGCCAGTGCCAGAACTGGTTTGCAAAATTTCGATCCGGCAATTTTGATGTCGAAGATGCACCACGGTCTGGAAGGCCGGTCGAAACTGACAAAGATGCGATAAAGGCATTAGTTGATGCAAATCGGCGAATAACCACACGAGAGATCGATGAGAGATTAAATTTGTCGAATTCGACTGTTTATGGCCATTTGAAAGGCATGGGCTTAACTTCGAAGCTCGATGTGTGGGTGCCCCATGTCCTTACAGAGCGAAATTTGTGTCGTCGCGTTGTGTGATTCGTTCCTCAAACGTCAAGAAAATGATCCATTTTTGAAGCGGATTATTACTGGGGACGAAAAATGGGTTGTATACAACAATGTTAAACGCAAGAGGTCATGGAGCGGAAAAGATGAACCGGCTCAAAGCGTGTCAATAGCCAACATTCACCAAAAAAAGGTGATGCTCTACGTTTGGTGGGATGTCAAAGGAATCGTTTTTTTTGAGCTTTCGCCGGACAATACAACGATTAATTCAGAAGTCTATTATCATCAACTGGACAAATTGAATGATTCACTTAAAGAGAAGAGGCCCGAATTAATCAATAGGAAGGGTGAACTGTTCCACCAGGATAATACGAGACCTCACACAAGTTTGGTCACTCGCCAAAAACTTTTACAGCTTGAATGGGACGTACTGCAACATCCACCATATTCCCAGATCTGGCGCCTTCCGACTACTATTTGTTCCGGTCCCTGCAAAATTTTTTGGATGGCAAAACCCTTACCTCAAATGAAGATGTTAAAAACCACCTGAACCAGTTTTTTGCCAGCAAGGACCAAAACTTTTATGAGAGGGGAATTATGTTACTGCCAGAAAGATGTCAAAAGGTGTTGGACCAGAATGGCCAATATATAACTGTCTTTCATGTTCCCCAAAAAAAACGAAATGACTTTCCGAACAACCTAATATTAAGACTAAGTAAGTTATAAACAATGTTTATTTAACTCTCATTGAACGTGGTGCCAACAAGCAAGCATATTTAGAAGAAACGGCTACATTGACGAAAATTAAAACATAAACTGTATGGAAAATTGTGAATAATCCCATTTCAGCGAGGAAAAAAAGAAGCGATGCTGACATTTTCTCGAGTGTAGATCAAAGTGATCAAGATAAAATACGGCCAATTATTTACTTGGATGAAACCTGATTCGACTTTTATGATACCCCGGAAAAGGGTTGGGTTTACTCAACTGATAAATGTAAAACAAACGCGCCATCAAAAAGAGGCTGGCTCTAAAGATGGTTGGATTAAAAATTGACTTTCTCTGTCTGCGAAAAATATTAAAGATTCTTCTCTGGATTACCATGAAGACACCACTGCTGATTTATTTTGAAAGTTATCACAGTAGACAGTTGACTATAGCCCCTTCCTCAGACTTAAACAGTAAACTACATCCGGCGT